GAGCAATCAGGCTGCGGTGCGCGCCCGACTGCTCTATGTTCCTGCGCACACAAGTGTGCTACAAAACAAAGCTTTCTGCCAGGGGGGGGGCTGCTGGCGTCTCAGTCCAAACCCGCCGCAAACGCTGAATATTGTCACCTTGTCATCCCAGGTGGGACAGGGAAGTCGCCTGCTTTTTTAGATGTTGCCTTTTTCGACTTGTCCTCGGGGATTCTCACCTGCTCATTCAAAAACAGTCCTACTGAAGATACTGTCGACGTGATTGCGGCCTCCACCTTTGGATGGGAAGTCGTCTGGACGTGCTGCAATCAGGTACAGCCATCTGGCGCGGTCGGATGCTCGATCAAGATAGTAGCGTTGCTCAGAAAATGGGGCGCAAAGAGAAGGAAAGCGAAAAGTCGCCTGAATGCAAGCAACGGACTAAAGATGGCTCAAGATGCGCTTCGGGGAACCAGGTTGTCTGACTTAAGAACCTGGCCAATTCTTCTAGTCTGGAGATCAGGAAACTCTTGCCTTGCTCTCCCGGAAACCCATCGGACATGCCGGGCACGCTTCAGGCCATCCAGCTTCACCTCGCATAACATAGGGAGTTGAAGCAAGATGGTGCAAATTGTGCGGGCTGCCGGCCACGGCATTTGCAGAGAGGTGGAATTGACCGCACATGCCTGTCCGGGTGTGCAGGAGACACATGGTCGCATGGTGTCGACAAAGATAGGAAAACTAAAAGACTTCAGCCTGTCCTGCTGCTGAGAACTCACCCAACGTCGCTACACTTACAACACACGGCAACTCTCTTCGCTCTGGAATCCATCCTCCATGACCTTGCCTGGCTCGCCATGGCAGAGCATTTCGAAGATATGCGGAGCCTGGCGATTTCAGCTTTGCAATTCAATGAACAATATTGAATCATACATCGCTGTGCACTTACACCTCTGCAGGCGGGGCAAGTTTCTGAACAACGGACGCCAGGCCAAACTCATGCCGCGTCAGCCTTGCATCACAAGTCGGCAGAAAGATCAAAGCATGACAACAGCTTATCGAAGAAGGGCAGCTGCGCTCAGCCTCAAGGACCGATCCAGGTCCAAGATGCGCAACATTGACTCCGCCACCATGTCAGCAACTGCAGATGCGAGCCAGCTTAGGCTTACTCAGGCACGCTGGTTCAATGTGTAATCAAGTCAACCCTACGTCTTCTAAGAGAAGGAGCCCTGCGTGGCAAGGGCCACGGCAGGGCCACTGGTCCACTGCCGAGTGCAGCAAACATCTTGCAGGCTTGACTTTCAGAAAGGTTCCAACTGATGCAGCTGATTTCAGCATCTCCAGATCTTTGCCCCTCTTTCTCGGAACTCTCCAAGGCTTTGAAAAGATTTTCAGTTCATCACTCTCAAAATACGGCATGGTCAGTTTAGCATGAATTACTATCTGGACAGCCTGGCTCAAGCGGGAGGATCGAGGAGAAGCTCAAAAGCAGAAAGGATGAACCAAAAGAGTGCTGATGTAACTGCGGTGCAGAATGGCGAAGCATTGACAAAGGGAAGTGTAGCGGAGGGGTCAACTTCACTCAGCCTGGGCACCCCTTCAAGAGCTGCTGTGGCAACTCAAAAAGGCTAACACTCGGCCATTTGGATGCTACACGTCAGCCAGCTACAGCTCATGGGAACTCCTTGGGGTCACTGCTAGTTTAAGAACAGCAGGGACACGAGTAAGCCGAGTGAGCAAAAACAGGAAGGAAAAGACCTGGCCTAATTTCCAGACGGCTCACAGATTGGCCAACTGCCTATTTCTTTAACTTCCAAGGCGGGGTGAAAAGCTCTGTGGGGCTATCTGTTGCTGGGGATTGAACATGCAGGTGCGCGTGCTAGCTGTGAAGGGTGCAGACTGCGGCTTTCACCAGAAGGGTTCTGCTGTCAAGGGCATTTCTCGGACAGCTTGCTTCACTGAGCTTGTAAAACTCTGAAAGCCATTGGTACATGTGCAGCATACACCAATGTCCTTGGCTGGCATTTATTTTTTCGGAACGATGTTTCTGCTCAAGGTTTTGAGGACTTTGACGAAGGATCTCGCCAAGCGGCGGAACTGGCTGTTCAGGAAGTCTGGGATCCATAGCAGGGCAGCGATGCAGCCCTGGCTAGGGAGAAAGGACGTCACATTGGGCTTCTTGGCCAAAACAGTACGGCCCAAGTGTCGCCGTCCCAGTAGGAAGGACCGTTTCTCATGCCTCTTGGTGCCCTGACACTTGCATGGCTTGCGGGGATCATGTTAAGGGTAATCTGAAACGCCCTGTTTGCAGCATCTCCAATGGGAGGCGTGGCTGCACACTGAGGCATCTCCAAGATCTCGACTTGCCAGACGTCTGGCGTGGTTGGTCACAGTTTGCGCAACTTAGGAACGCGTGTTGGAGTAGCTGGCAGCCATTCGGTCAAGTCTGGAGCTCAAGACGGATCCTGGCGCCTGATGCAGCTGCCGGTGGGGAGGCACTCGCGCAACATTGTGTAGGATAGCTCTGACTTATAAGAGTGGTTGGACAGTAGCATCTGGTCCCCGCTTGTCTTTGCAGCCAGCCCCCGCATTGGCCTGCAGCAGTGTCTGCCCCCCTTGCAGTTGCATTGATGCTTGCAGAGCCGCGACTGAGCCGCCGGGGTGCCCACAGGGTTCAAGTCAATCTTCAATTCTAAAAAAAAGCCTGATGGCCTGTGAAATCCCTTTGCGCAATCCACTGTTCAAGAGTCAAGGAAGTTGGGTCCACGCATCTCTGAGTTGGGGTAGCCTAATGTCAGATTGATCAACTTGCTTGCCTTCAGGTGATAACTCCCAATCATGGGGCTACTCATGAAGCGTCAGAGCCATGCGCTTGTGCCTTTTGAACTATCTGGCGAGCACGACTACTTACATGCCATGGATTGCATACTGAACGGGTTGTCGGCAGCCAGTACTTTGGCAATACCTAGTTGTGTTTTTGTTAAAGCCATGATGCAGCCAAAACGTGAGAAAGCAGCAGCTGCTCAGGCACTTCATTGAGGATTCACAGATACTTCGGTCAAATGATACCAGGCGATTGTGCTCCTGCCTTGACCCCTTAAGGACAGCACGGATTCTAGATATCACGCGCCGCTCTTTCGGTACGGTTTCGCTTCTAAGCTAATGTTTCACGGAGTCTAACACGCTAGCTAGACCAGGGCAGCGCCTGTATACGCCTGTCGAAAGGAAACATGCAAGCATAATCAAGCATCAAAGCGCGCACACACCCTGCACCAATCCGGCTTGTAAGATGCACTCTGCATGCTTCAATCCTACCTCAACCCTACAACTGTGATCTTCTCGGTTTCCCAGCGCGGGCCTTCCTTGCCGTCTTGTCGCTGCGGGAAGCCCAGTTCCAAAGCTCTCGACAAGAGAGCAGCTCGAAAGCGCATCAGGACAGCCTCGCAACTTTCAGATTCATGTCAGCTATGGACATGTTCAGCCTGAACTCAACTGCGCACATTCAATTCTGAAGTGTTTATTTGGTCTTAAGAACGGATTCCGCTCTTCTGGACGGGTTCAAGTGAATCCAATGCGCCAATCAATGCCAGAAACCCTATGCAGCTTGGCTCAACTTGTCAAACTCCGTAGAGGCTGCAGTGCTCACACCTGGTCAGAGCTGGCATGGTCTGGTAGTTGTAAATCACCATTCACCTCATTAGACCAAGCCGGTCGTCGATGCCATGGTTTCATGGATCGACCTCTGCCCCACTCACAGGCTCGTTAAAGCAAAAAAAGCCAGGAGCTGCCAAGCAACACACCAGCCCTCAAACTGCAAAGCCGTGAACAGTTATACCAGTAGATACCAGTCCATCTGCTTGGATACTTCCAGCATGAGCTACAGCAGTTTCTGGAAGCTTCACTAGTATCAGTATCACTGCAGGACGCAGATTGAAGATTGCTATAAGTGGATATACAGTAGTTGTCTTGGCGCATCCACGTGCCTTGAAAAACGCAGCAACTGCCTTAAGCAGAAGACGTTGTGCGTACTCTCCGCATCTCCGATGCATGTATTTCCTCACTTCGAAAACAGCATGGTCTCCAAGAGCCCATGCATCAAACAGTTCGCGGTTTTGAACCGACAAAGTCTCGGAATCAATCTTGATGGCCGTTGCGCAGCCACTCACTGAATTGCCCACCGGCGAGCGATGAAGAGCTCTTTGCACTCAGAACACGTGCGGTTTTTGATCGGGTGGCCTCACACTGACGCCGGTCTACTGCTCTAGAGCGCCTGGGCTTCTTCGTTTACGAAGAATGCTCATACTTGTGGTGGACCCAATACAACTTTATCATATCAGAGATGGCCTTCGACAGATCCTGCCTATCCGGGGAGGAGCGTCGTCCAAGGTAACCTTCGGAGACTCCAGTCTGCGTGAGCAAGCAATCGCAATATCTAAACGAATGGAGCAAATTGTGGGACCTTGAGAAATGATCAAGTCGTGCAGGGTGGCAACCTCTTCCATCATGCAAGCCTTAGCAGAATGGAGAAGCCTGATGCCGCTGGCTACTGACACTGTTGTCATCAGGACTCCTTTGTTGGTTTTGCATATGAGCTGTTTCCAACAGCTTGCTGCAACTTGGAGGCCACGTCCAAGCTCTTGGCCGGGCCTTTGAGCCTGGCTACACCGCGTATCAGCTCTTCAAGAGTGATCTTGCCATCTCCTTAGGGTGAAACGTGGCGTGTTCCTTTCTCCCAAGCACACAATTCTACAGCCCTGGCAAGACATGAACGAAGGGCAAATAAACGACATGCCAATGCACTTGTAAAAGTTGTACATAATGGTGATTTCCACTTTGAAATGTAAGGCGTGGCAAGACGGTTGGTCGTCCTGCCTTCCCATACTGTCTCTGACTCAGCTGACATCTAATTTGGCCTGGCCTTTTGGAACCGGCGCCCTCATCAATTCTGATCGGGAAGAAGAGGTCTGGATCGGGGAAATAGGCACATGATCCGGAGAATCGCAAACGAGGTAGTAAAGACAGAGGCCAGTCATGATAGTGCAGAACCAACATCATTTTGCGGTGAAGCTGCGATGCAACCAGCCCAACATGCGCAAAACCGCTTCTACAACACGACTGAATCGTCAGCGGCGCAAGCATTGTTGAATCTAGCTGAGCCGCGCCGCGAACTATCAATCAAGATGAAAAGCTTGTCTGGATCAGACACATCCAGCTCCATTGCCTGCAACCACGCCGAAACCTCCTTGTGCTCAGTCATTTGTCTGAACTCATCCTTGGAAAGCAGACAGAGACAGCTGCAATTTGAACGTATAGTGACCTGCCACTTGCTGCTCCTTTTTTCTCAGCACTGCCTGATAACTTCCGCTAATTTGTTCATCATGGCAGTAAATGCCATCTGGTGTCTTGTAGCGGCTCAAAGAGACTTGGTGTTGGCTGCGCGGCTGGGGTACGATAGTCAGCTTTCCAACAACAGCATACCATGCATTTCAGATGCTGAAGTCAGTTTTAACTATTTCAGCTTGGCAACTCACAATCTTGATACGGAGGCATGACGCGGAAAAGCAGGCTCCAGGGCAGAAAGCGATCAAGGTGAAGGTTGATGTGAGTCTGTACAAGTTGTAGAAGCCACCGCTAGCAACTTTGCAGAGATCAAGCAAAGGTCACATGAGTTGGAGGTAGGCCAAACGTCGCCCGTGGAGTTCAGGGGTTTTCGCGGGCTGCTGTGAGGGAGGCTACAGTAGAGGGTTCTCATGCTCAGGGCTGAAGGGGTTGCGGGCTCAGGATCAAAGGCTTCCAGAAGTGTTTGAATCCATCAAGGAATGCACTCTGGCTTATCAGTCTACCGAGCAATCGGCAGCTAGATTAGGACCCAATTAGTTCTTCTTCAGACAGCGCAGGATGACGCGGTTTTAGAGGATGCGACTGCATCTGCGCAACATTCACTGCACTTGTGCCCTGGCATTGTTTGTTGTACAAGACTTGCTTTTGGAAGCCTCCCAGCAATAATCTATGCTTTGGTAGCAAGCACACTTCTTTGAGGGCAATTCTGGGGACCACACATGAGAACCAGATGTGGTTTTACGTTGTGCCCAGGTCTATTCCTGATACCCCAAGCATAGTTTGCTGGTTCGTGTAAAGTTGAGGAGCGGGTTGAGACTTTGAGCAATTTCTCGGCGGAGTGCGACAAGTCACACAAATCCAGATCAGTCAAGACACCATGTCTATGGCACCGTCGCTGGTCTTGTCGGCCAAGCGGAAAAATCGCTCCATCTTGAAGCGATGCATTTGTGAGTTTCGCTTGCGCTTCTGAATCATGACTCGATCGTCTGATGCAGCGACGTGGAAAGTTTCTTGCATGAAAACACCGTTCACCTCGGCAGCAACACTTCAGAGAGGCAGGACATGGGAGAGATTAAGCTGAAGCCGAGGAACCACGCTGACCACGGCGAAGCCGATGGTAAGCTTGTGGATGATGCCGAAAAGCATGAACCACTCAGAAACATTTTCGGCCAAAAGACGTGAGGCTGGAGGCCAATTGGCTAGTGTGATTTCAAACATACTGTAAATTGATCTGCTGAAGGTTCCGAAGTAGACATAGACCGCCTGTCGATTCTGCTCTGGGACGTTCGCATCATTGAAATAATATTCTGTCAAATAACCAGTTATGAGCAGGGCCAAGCCCATCTGGAGGAAGAAGAACAGAACACATGCCTGCAGCTTCATCTAGCAAGAAAATCACCACTGTGATAAGCAGCAGATTGCCAGCTGATACTAGCCAGGTCACCCATGCCAGGATGGAGAAACTGCCGCTGAGAGCCGTGGTGATAATGTACAATGCATCGAGACCTCCAGTGGGATCATCTGTGCTAGAAGGACATGGCTCGTGATCATAAACTTCAAGCAGCGTTACAAGGCGCTCGCAAAAATGATGGGTTAAAGTCCGAAAGACCAAACTGAGTGCCAGGCTCTTTATGGTCTGCATCAGCTGCACCAAGCCTTGGGTTATGGAGGCATGAAGCTTCTGCCAAATTTTGCGAAGGCATGCAAGGACCATGAAGCAGGAGCCAATGCCAGCTCATGTGAGGCCTAGCCACGAAGCAAGCGAACCAGACGCGCGACACGCAGTAGCGTGGCGTCCACTGGCAGCGCAGTCCCAGCAGACACATCGACTATCCAGAAGAGAACAATCATCATGTCAATCCAATTCCAGCCAAACCTCGGTTTGCTGTTGGTGCTTTTCTGCGAGCATCTGCGAGCCTGGCCCAAACTGAGCACAAGACTTGAAAAAGCTTCCGCGCTGACCTACAAGTTTCAGAATAAGCTCCGCTGAATAGATGAGCCCGAACACAAAGCCCATCCAAAGGAATACGTGCTCTGCTGAAGCCCAGGTGGTCGCATGGTACGATTCGATGGAGCCAAAGTTGAGCGAAGCACCAACAGACAACCCTTGCCACTGCGCCTCAATAGCCATAACGACGGCATTCAAGAAGATGACGAAAGCTACGACAAAGTCAAACATTGGGTGTGTGATAACCCGCGTCGCTGTGAACCAGATACTTCTTGGCATTTCAATCACTGGTTCAAACAAGCTTGGCTTTCGAACTGGGGTGGTCGTAGAGACCACCGGCATCCATGCTGAACGTACTGCAGCTTCTTTCTTTGGAGAAGGTGTATGAGGTGTATCATCACTTGAGACTGATGCAAGAGCGCGCACCTCATCTCCAGATGCCTTCTCGACATCCGATTTGCCATCAGGAGCATGAAGCTTAGAGCGCAAGCGTTCATTTGCAAGCTTCAAATGCTTCACTTCTGCACTGTGTGCCTCCCAGAGCTTCCGCAGCGCTTCAGAGAACGCTCGGGAATCAGGAGGTTCAAGGGATCCTGGAGTCTCTGTTGTCGACGGAAAGGCCATTGGCAAACACTGGAGTCAAGCAGCTCTGGCCACATAGCTTGAGATACAGACGCATCTCGGTCATGAAGTCAAGCAGCTCTGAATGGTTTTTGAATGATGCTGTATGAGATCAGTTCTCAAGCAAATCCTAGCCACATGAGAGCAACATGTGCAGGGTTGCTACCTCGGTCTCTGAGTCGACTTCAGCGAGTGTGATGGCCTCGTTTGATGCATGAGCATGCAGACACAGGCAAGTAAGTCTGAGTTGTTTGGACAGGACAAGGTGCCACGTGTCTTAGCCCCCGAGCACATTGTCCACAGCCGCTTTCGCACATTGAACACGACATAACGCTATATTGAGGTTCACAATAAGGCAGCAAGATGACCGCTACACCGGCTACAACAAACGACTTTGTCTTTAAATCAATGCACACAATGATCAGTTAAATAGACAACGACCACCACCACCGCCACCACAACAACATGTTGGATTGCTCCGGTGTCACTTTGCGTGCGCATGCATCCTTTGCCCATAGCCAGGTTCGGAAAAGGCCACGGTCAGCTTGTAGTCTTGCGTTCCCGGAAGTCTGACGTCTTGTATTTCAGGAAAACTGAAAACGTCGACTTGTGATGTCAAGAAATCTGAAAACATCAATCCTGGCTTGGTTTGTTCAACGTCAGTTCAAGGTCAGCTTCACCAGATTTCGACACGCACTGTCAAAACTGCAATCGAATGTCCACAGCTTAAACGTTCACGGAACACATGTGACATCATGTCACATCCACGTGTCTGGACTAAAACCAAAGACTAACAGGACGCAACAACTGGTGAACATGTAGCTTGCAGAATTTGCAGAATCCAAGTAACTAAGCAAGACTGAAACCGACAGCTATGGACGCGGCCATCCAGGCGCACTACAGCAGGTACGTTTTGTCCTGGCTTCACCACACAGGGCTCCGTTGGCCGGAGCTGTGTGGTGAGCCCTCGGGCCCCTGCTCCCCTAGTATCACTGTAAAGGGTAAGGAAGAATGAGTCCTCAGACAACCCTTAGCTTTCAGTCAGGGAACAACAACAAAAGATGACATCCAACAAGGCAATTTCCACAAATCCAAATGAGCACAGTATCAAGCAGAGCCATGAAAGCAGCAGTGGCAGCTGTGGCACCAACAGCAGCAGCAGCAGCAGCAGCAGCAGCAACTATCACCATAGCGACATCAACACTAGCATCAGCACTTCCTCCTCCTCCTCCTCCTCCTTCCCGTCCTCCTCCGCTTGCTCCGTGCTTCTCCTCCATACCTCTTCCTTGTGCTCCTCCTCCTCCTCCGTGCTCCTGCTGCGGGCTTGCGGCTCCAGCTGCTGCCACCACAGCTGCCGATGCCATTACCACATGCTGCCGCCGCTGCTGTTGCTGCTACCGCCGCCGCCGCTGTCGCCTTCTTGCACTTGTATTTGATCAAGCCCATCATCAGTATAAAGCCCCTGATCATGACCAACAACATCTCTACAATCGCGGTCATCAGTAGCTACCACAGGAACTGGTGGAGTAGTCTTCAAGCCAATCTATGTCGATTTGACGAATTGCCCTGGTGTCTCTCAGATAGAGTGTTAAGCTGGCGGCGGCATCTCCATAGGGACCATTCAGAGCATACCAGAGGGTCCGCACGTTTTCTTGGAACCTCAGACACACATTGGGGATGGATGACGATCAGTGTTTATGAAGTGCAATTTACCGTGGTTACCGTCATTCGCGACACTTTTTTCTCACCGCCTGCCATGGCGCCAGAATCCTTTGGAGTGAGAGTTGATGGATCTCACAGCCGCGTTTTTGTCCGCCAGCGGCCGGTCAAACCTTCTCCGCCGGAACTTCCTCGTCATCTTCTGATGCTTACTGCTGCTGAATGCTGCTGCATATCCCTAATCGCACTGCAAGGTCTCCTTGAAGGAGCACCTGTTTGCGCCAGTAGCGCAGCAGCCTGCAAAGGAACAAAGCCATGTCTAGCCAAGTTCCCAGGCTCATCTTATGCTCATCGTGCCCACCTCCTCGCCGGGCTCGGGTAGCTCCTTAACATCCAGGACAAGTCGGGTCCGATCCACGATGGATGTCCTGAGATAAAGTGACAGCCACTTCAACGGTGATCGAACGTTGTGAAACCGTGTGAAACCCACCATGACCAGTACGAGAACGGTACGAGGCCTGAGCTAACTCATGCTGGTCCTATCTACTCGGAGGACCAGAAGTCTGGATGGCCGCGGCACATGCGGCACTTGCCCTTTGGTGTCCTTTTGCGTTTCGTGAATGCCCGGAGGCTTCTACCCAAAACATAAATAAAACCAGACCAAAGGACGCAGGAAAAGGCCCAATCTCACGTGCCAGCTCAATGCCTCAGCGATGCAGAGCTAATCTTGAACGAAAAATACGACGTCGGCGTGACGAAGGCCATATGCCAGCTTCCGTCACGATCTGAGCCTTGGACCACTTCGACCTTGAAGCCAAATCAGCGTCGGAAAGCCTGTGCTGGGCAGATAAGCAACTCTGCCAACTAAGCGCATTCATGACTGCAGAAGTCAGGACAAGTCAGAAGCGCATTTGCATGCAGCTGTGTCACGTGTGACACCATACTCAACCATCACTTCTTCGTTCTTGCGACCATCAACAGCCACAATGCGAGCAGAGCGGAGAAGAAGTTGGGCAGCCCCTTCAAGCTGGTCCCTCGCGGCAAGACTGCAAGTGCAAGACCCTCTCACAGCTCGCTTAAGCGCACCTCTCTTCAGAATTGACAGAGGAATCAGATGCCTGAATCTCAAATGTCGGGGACTCTGCTCGTCAATAACAGCCAGCAGCAAAACCACATCACTGTCCTGGTCACCACGGCCAAGTCTAAGAAACCGAATGCAGAATGTCATCACCACCATGCAGTTTCATGGCTTGTGCTTCTAAGCAGCTGCTTCTCGCTCAACTCTGAGCTGGTGCCGGGTGAAGCTTTGGATCACTCCTGCTAAGAACACCCATGTCTAAGAACCCCTGTACCGCGCCTTAAGCAAACGTTGCGACTGGCAAGGGCAGTCCTGGTGTAACACCCTGCCGTGTTGGGCTGTAAGCTTGCTCCTTCTCAAGTTCCTCCAACAGTGCCTGCACGACTGGCTGTTCAACAACTCGTGCAAACATGCTTTCTGTCGTCGGCTTTCCAAGAGGCCACCTCTCGAAGGCCTTGCACATCAATGGCGGATATGACCTTATGGTGGCACCTCAGCCCCACCAGCAATTGACTCAAGGACAGCTTGACAGGCCACAATCTTGGAAAATCACTGCCTTTGGTCCAACTCTTCCATGAGCTTCCTTCCTCAGACTCATTCCAACAATGTCTCTATGAAACGTGCCCTCGCCTGATCTCAGCTGAGTTTCTCCCTAGCCCATAGACCCACATCAAAGTGTCCTATGTGCGTGGTAAATGTCACGGCATGAACATGCAATGGCAGTTCACTTCATAGCAGGTCCTTGGGCAACCCTTCAGAATATGTATCCGGCTCGTCGTCTAGAATCTGCCTTTCAGACTTGTGAGCTTCATGGTTGAAGAGCAATTGAACTAAGGTCAGCCTGTAGTGGCGCGCAAGGTTGACAAGTAGGCACAGCACGTAATGAAACACAATTGAAGATTTCACCGGTATTGCTTGCCCATCTTGCCCAGCGCAAGCCACCCACACTTGTGAATCTCAATTTGCCACTTTCCCGCAAGAGTCTGGAATCTGGAGGCTTTCTCTTCAAGAGCCTTGAAAAGATGTGCAGAGGCAAGGTCGGTCCTTCAGGTGCCGAGCGGTGAACCCTACGACACTCAGACAGCGATGCTGCAAGTGTTCCTTTGCTGAAGCGTCGAACGTCTCAAGGTATGGCGAGTTCCGAAAAATGCTTTCAAGCAATGGCCCCGTGCGCGTTTGCATAGCAAAGGTCTTTGATGTAGGGGTTTAGGGTTTACGGTACTTTGGGGCTCAGCAGGCTGATTGGGTTTCAGGACCGACAAAGTGTTGACGCTGTACGTGACGGACTTGCTGTTGCACTTGCCGCTCAAAATATATCAGCTGTAGCTGTCTCAAGGTTTTCAAATGTTTTCAGCATTTAAAGTGTCTATGAGCGCAAAGCAGTTCCAAGACCAAAGAGATCACCGATGTCGTTCCCAAATGCCGGATTCCTCGACTTCGATGCATGAGTTACAATGTTGGTGGCACTACAACTGATACCTATGCTTCATGAATTTGCATATACAGTATCGAACAGAGATTGCGGCCCGAATTGCGTTCAATGAATAGAATAGTTGGGATTCTGGCAGAGCTGAACTGTCTTGAACCTGGAGATCAGCATGTCGTGCAACTGTTGATGGTAAAGATTGAATTTCAGGTGCTGCAAGTTGTACCTTCCATCGAATGTCGGACAGCTCAATGCTAATGTTTGCTGCGCGCTTGTCAGACTGTTGCATGTCAGATGCGCTATGCCGGATTTCAGGATGCACATTGTTGGCATGTATCAGTGGGCTTGGAAACCATCAGCACTGGTTCTGCAGAGAGCATGCGACATGGTTTGGATAGCAGCCAGCAAGCGCTTGATGCAGCTTCTGTTAGGAAGACACTGCTGTGAACCAACTAGAGCGGTCAGGCCAGACTCGGGCCTATTGGAAGAGTCCTTAGGTCCATCCTGAAATCCGCACAGCTCATTCAGTTCAACACCAAGGTAGGCAATAGTGATCATGCAGTAAGGAGCAGCGCATGTCACAATGCGAATGCATGCCTCACTCTCGCAACATCCCGTGATCTGAGGTAATCCGTCACGCCATCCACATTTCGAAGCAGCAGGTCTACCTTTGGGTATTGCACATCTTGCGCCACATGCGGCTGCCGCGGATTGGTCAGCCAAGTCTCTCGTCCCCAAGATGGCCAACGCTGGGCTACACCGAACCTTGTATAGGACTGTGCGAATGGAAAGGCACTTTGGTTGCCAGGTCCCAGGAAGAGGAACTAGAGGGGGTTGCAAGCATAAAAATCTGATGTATACAGCCGGGGCTCTTGTCAGGCTCATCAAGCCTAGCATCCTGACGCAACAGCTTCTGACCAGGATTTGAAATCCTCGTCCGCAGAGCAGTACCACCGCCTGTAGCATTGTTCAACTTGCACGACTGACGAGCAGCTTTGAAGAATCACGTCCTAGAACTCAGGAAACATCTGTCTTCACATCTGAAATTGCCCCAGTGTAGCGTGCTCACAGAGGATTTCGGGCTGAGCTTTAATTATAGTTGTTCAGCCTGGCGCTGCCATAATTTCGTTGTAAAGATTGCGGGCAGGATCTGCGTGCTCATCCTGCAGTGCCAAGAAGGCAGCAGTCAAGGCATGTCAACGCACAAACAGGTTAGCAACTACTGATGTCCTCGTATTTGGCCATTCCTAGAAGCATGGCAACTGCAGAGATCTTTTGCAGGCTATTGTAATGTTGCCAACGCAAGGTCGCCTGCATCGTCTTGGTACCACCGCCGACCCCCGATGTTTTTGGGAGGCAGCCATCTGGCATTTTGCTGCACTGTCCACGTCATGTTGGTGCCTTAGCCAGAGGAACGTACATGCCACGTTCATCTTCGCCGTCTCTGGCCTTCTGGAGGTTCCATGAACTGGGCCCCAGCATTGTAGCATACCTACACTTCTGAGCTTGGGAACAACATCAAAGCCTGGTTCGAACATATCTCACATCTGCCGTCAAAAGAAAGGCCTGCTGCAGCCAAAGAGTGCTCTCTTTGGTAAAGTTCTCTGGCAGCAAGTTCCCAGCAACGAAGACAAATGCAGCACCCGCCATCCTGCAGGGCCAGCTGTGTCTGGGCACGGATGGCACAGCCCCTGCATGCTGCAGCCCTACCTGTTGTGGCACTTGAGTTGTTCCAGCAGCGCAGTGCCAGCAGAGCCCAGTCTATCAAGTTCCAGGATGTCGAAACGAACGCAAGCTTCCTTCAAGCGCTTCTCGGCATCCTCCGTGCAGAAGCGTAACAGAGTGGAAGCAAGAGGCGCCGGATGGCCCTGGTAGTGCGAGTAAGCAACTTTGAAAGTTGCACTATTCGACTCTGAGATCAGCAGTACCGGGCTCTTGGTCAGCTCCTGACTCAGCAGTTCTGGGTTCAACTCTGCACGGCCGCACGAACATCCTATGGCCAGCACCTGCGTCAGCCATTCTGCAGCCCAGTCAGCAGCTCTTGCTTCCACAGCCTGTGTAGAGGCTGTGGAAGTCAGGCGTGCGTGAATGGGTTTTTTCTCGGTGCAGGCATGGCCTTCCTCTGAACCTCTCCTTTTGGATTTCTGCTCCACGGCCTCTGTCAAATACAGGCTTACCTTCAGCAAAACTGCCACCTCCCGCACCTGTATCTAATCATCTAATCAATGTACACTGAACTGTAGGCAATCACAGGTTTGACCTCGACAAGCTGAGACCTGGGCCGAGGTCCCACTGCGCAGAATGCGAGCATGCAAGCCTCAAATCGCAAAGCACTGGTCAACACATCTGTGTGGTCAAGCAGGTGTCAAAATCTCCATCCACTAAAAGATTTAAAGCTTTGGATGGTGCTGCCTTCTTGCTGTCGTGGCACACAACCCATTTGTGCACAAAACCATAATACAGGTAGGCGCAAGCTGGTCCTGCAGAAGGCAAGCCACCTTGCCATTTACCATAATCCGCAAGGCAAGTCCTGCTCCGTGGCGCCATGGTGCTCAGAGAGAATGTCGGGGACTCACATGCCCTTCACTTGATTTTGGGGCCTCTTTTGGGTTTAGCATGGCCTTGATTAATCTCTGCTTGCCATGACAGCTCGGATTTTTTGTTTTCACAATTTACAAGGGAACATGCCTATGCCCAGGATCAAGGGATCCGGAAAATCTGCCCAAGCAGGCAGGGCCCCAGGGCTTGGATCCCTTTGAGCCCGAAGAGGCAGGAATGTGCGCAAATCCGGGACTTGCCACAAGGAATCTGAAGCACATCGCCCCCACATTTAGCAAATATCCGGATGATTGCAGGATTTGCAGGCCACTGGGAATCCACGCCCAAGCTCCCTGCAGCGCTGTGCTAGCTGTGGCAAAGTCAACTGCCCCCGGCTCTCAGGATCCTCCACAGCTTTAGATCAAGTCTAGTGGCAAGAGAACTTCTGCTGCAAGGCAGTGGCTAAGGCTAGTCTGTCCAGCACAAACAAGGCGGTACACCCCTTGTATGTTGCTTTTGGTGCATGGGCTGCATGTGTGTTTTGCAACGGGCTGGCAAACCATTGGTTTGCTCAGCTGCAGCTTCAACGAGGCTTCTTCATGCACAACATGCAGACATAATCATTTCCGGCTGTCTTTCACGTGATGAAGTCTTCCATGCGATTGCAAGCACCACATTGAGCAAACACAACATGAAGCGGCTGGAACGTCCTGCAAAGTTCCACTGGAGCAGGTGGCTCGAGAGAGCAGATTCACAACTTCACAACTGTGGCTACCGCACTCCTCTGTGACAAGTTCTGTGTGTGTAACAGCTGAACCCCTGAGCATCCCTGTGCTATGCTCAGCACAACAGCAAGCAAGGTTCCCGGTCCAGAAGAAAGCGCCTAAGATTTGCTTTGCGAACGGACGCTGGAATCAAACACACCTGCTTCAGTCGCCACCAAGCAACCACGCACGGGCATAATTGCCACCTGGTCAAACAGCACAGGTGCAAACTGCAAGCAACAAGACCAAGCGATGGCGACAATGACGGTAGCCTCTGGCAAGCAGCATCTTCTTGAAGTCTCCTTGGCAAGCAGCAAGTGCCAGACAGCTTCACCACGGTCCTTTCTTCGCGGGTCCTCTGCGACAGCTGTTGCATATTTAAGCTGAGAGCCACGCCAATAATCTTGTCGCCGGCAGGACCAATCGCACTGTGAGCGGACATGCGGAGAAACTGCTTTTCTCATGCCCGCTTGCAAATGCTCTCGCAGTGCTCTCGCAGTGCTCTCGCTTTGCCGCTCTGCCTCGCTATAGACTTTGGCATGGCAGGTGACGGTTGTGCTCTGACTTTCGGTGGCTTGGATTGGTCATTCTCCTGCAGCATCAAGACACTAAGCTTCAGCGTCCCGATCCTTCGTGGTAGCAAGATTGATCCTCGAAGCATCGAATATTCTCCAGCCAGAAATTGTCATCCTGCGCAATTTTGATGAGCTGTGCCCGCTGGTGCGCCTGTGACCAGGAGAGGTCCGCACAGCTCAAATCAGCTCAGCACTTGAAATCACTTGAACCCCTCCTCACTAGCAGCGGAGGTGGTGCTGGTTGCTGCCATTCGTTTCTGCGCAATGAACTTAGCTGTTGAATCCTGCACAGCACTGAAGCGCGCTCATTCTACTGATGTCTAGGTCAAACAGGCTCAGTAGCGGCCTGCGTCCTCTTCACGGCGGCCATCCACTCTTTCCTGGAAAGCACAGCTGCACATACCACTCAAGAAGTGCGGTTACTTTGAGTTAACATATGAGCAGCGCACAAAGCTTATTGTCTGGCCTCTGGTCAAAAGTCCCATACTCGTACTGCAATCTCGCTCCATCTCGTTTTACGCATTCCGGAGCGTGTTGGGGGGGACTATCTCGTTCTATTAGGCTTGAGTTTGCGAACTGTACAGGAGCCAAATGAAGGATTGAATCCCTTTCCCCAACGTACCGTTCTTAAGCCTGGGATGAGGGCATTGCAAACCTGTGGTGGCTCATGTAAGTGAGTCGGGCATCGAATCTTGTTTTCCAACAAATTTGCATTCAAGAACAAAAGTGCTGATCTCAATTTGAGGGGGATCATCTCGTTTTACAGGTTGAACGCATGATTTCCAGGACTTCTGGCCGACCCTAAACATGTTTAAAGAGTCGGAACTTTAGTCCGTTGCATCCGCTGCTCATATAATAACATGTAACCTGAGCCTGCCTCTGCAGTTGAGCTTGCTCCTTTGCGGCTGCTTGCGCTTGCTGGAGGAGCAGGCTCCCTGCGGCTTGGGGGGTAAACTTTTTTCTTGGATCCACAGACTCACCTTGTTTCACCTTGTTTGTTGCATGTCCTGCCTTGTACTTGTGAGGCTGCCGATTCCAGGGGCTTTTTCTTCACTCCAGCTGCGAGGGCACGAGCTTGCTGAACCTCCCGCCGTGCTGTGCCTCGGCACTTTCAAGTTGCCCGCAAGTGCTGAGAATACTGATTCTGGAGATTCGCTGCACTTTGTCGATGCAGTCGGACTGGAAGCCCGAACATGCCTTGACGTAGTCTGCATGGCAGTGGCTGCGAAGCTGAAGCTACAAGGCTGATCAAGCTTCGTCCCCAACACTCTGGGGCTAGCCGACGCCGTGCGAAACCTGAAAGCCTGCGTGCGCGAGGGCTTTTCTTAGATTCCATCTCAAGGGTGGATCCTCGATTAGCCAGCCTTCTTCGCTTCGGCAGTGAGCGGAGGCGTGTTGGACCTCCGCGTACGCGCTCCTGAAAAGCTTGCGGCACGACAAGTGTGGCTCTCACGATACCTCCAGAGGGACTGGCCTCGTGCACTGCAGTGCGAAGGCGCGTGAAACGGTCCTGGGGATGTACTCCTGGAATTTGGCCGTCCCTGCGAGGCAGAGCTGCTGTCAGTTGGTGTGGCTTTCATCCAGCACTGAATCTGGCACTTGAAGGCAGCTCTCGCAATAGTTAACATGCGTCATCATGCGTCGTGAGTGTGCCTTGGAGTTGGCTTTTGAAGGCGCAGAGGCCTGGTCACCTAAGCTGCTTAGGAACCGGAGCAAGAAATACATGACAAAGCGCTAAACTTCTTGAATCCTTAATCACCCACCCGCGATAGCAGACTCGAAACCTCCCAGCCAGTGCAAAATCCACACTGCAACAGGCCCAATCCCATCCACTCTTAGGGGCTCCACTCTCATTGCTACTTCTGCTTATGGTTGGCAAGGGTTCCGGATAGGTTCTCAGCACAAGAAGCCAGGAACAGCCTTGGGGGCAGGGGGCTCATGAGGTGGACACTAGCGGACGAAAATGGTTCCTTTCCCAGAGAGCCGTCTGTCAGTCTTGAAGACAGATCTGCTGCGCACGCTGCGCAGCTACTTCTGGGGCCCAAGTAGTTGGCACGCACCGCAAGCTTCGAGGGTTATATAATTACTGCACAGCTCTGGCCGGTGCTCCTTTCAACTTGGACTGTGGACCAGACGCACCGGAAGCTGTTGTGAGCCAACGCCTTGAAGCCGATGAGGACTGCGGCTGTTGGAAGATTCAGACCGGCCATCTGGCTGAACACCTAGCACTATCGCATACCATCGCCCATCCCTGCACAAGCAACCAGAAGGCACTATGGGCCTGGGGCGGCTTCATTCTTTCTGGTCTTTACCTGTGCAAGGTCAATAAGATGTCTTGGAGCGCGATCAAGTGAGCACCACAGGCTTTGCCCGACCTTCGCGGGCGTCACAGCATTTTGAAGACCCGACCTGCATTTTACACCGCAAGATGTTTGAACATGATTGCAGTGCGAGTCAGGCGGGTTTATTTCTGTAGCCTCAGGCCAGACAATCCAAACTTCCTTCATGCCAGGGCCTTGGAGTTGGGCTTTCACTGACCTCGCGTCTTGGAGCGCGCTTGACCGGCAAGCTGCCACCACCACCTCATGCAGTGAAGACAAAAAAAGTTCAGTACCCACTTTGGTGCGGCTCCGTCCAAGTCACTGAAACGTTCCCCAGGCTGCGAGCCGAGACCGAGTCCCCAAACGAGGAAGCATGAGAGGACCCCAACATGCACCAGAATTTTGTCCGTAAAGCCAAAGCAAGCAAAGCAAGCACATCCAACCATCCGTCAGCTCTCCCAACATACGTGCATCCATAGCCCAAGCTCCTGGAGCTTCCAGCGGAATCACCTCAAATCTATCGACCCCATGCACTCCATCACAAAACTCCCAGACACGGGCGGTAGCGGAACGACTTCTCATGACATCATCAGCCCCGCCCATAGCTTCTCAAAACAAACGGGCGACGTCTCTGTTCTGACAAGCAAAACATGGGAAGGGCCCCCAACAAAGAAAATCGCTCGCGGCGTGCGGTGAGAAGACGGCGCCTATAGCTTCTGGGACTTGTTTGCTGCCTTCAATACTGGGTTGCGTCTCTTGCAGGAGCACAGTTCGCGTCTCCAAGCACCGAGGATCATAGCCCCTTTGACTCAAAAGCGAGGATGTCTCAGATCATAACAGGCCGAGGACCCATTTGGGTAGCGTCCGGGCAGACAGCGGCAGCAGTATGGGAGTCGGCAAAGGTTGATGGTTCAGCATCCAGCGCCCAACAAGCTGGTGGAAAACCATCATTTGCAAA